CGGGGGATCGGGTGGGGGCCTTGTGTCAGGTGGGGGCCGCGATGTGGGGTCCGGGTGTCTGTTCTGCAGGGACAGGCCAGGGAAGTGCAGGCTGGGGCTGCACCACTCCACCTGGTGCTGGGGTTCCCCTGCACCTCTGAATGGCGCCCCAGTCCCCATAACCCCAGGGACCTCGGCGTCTGCTAGGGCGCTGCCTCCACCTGGCTGGCCCTTCTGGGCGGGGGGCGCGGGGTCCGGGCCGCAGCCGGCCTCCCCACTGCGAGGCGGACGCCATGTCCCACCCAGCCCAGTGGCAGCCTCACCTTGGGGTCACCCCTGCTGCCCACTGGCTTCCTCCTTGGAGCCCCCGGGACCCCCGCGTGGTCTCAGGGTGCGGGGCTCCCCACTCGGGACCTGGAGATGGATGCGGGGCCACCGCGGCCTTATGCCGCAGCTGGTCACCTCGGAGCAGAGGCGGCCGCGCCCGGGCAGCGCCACGGGGACACCGACGGGATGGCTTTGCCCACGGGGCCTGGACGGGTGACCCAGCCTAGGCTGGCAGTTCTGTGGGTCCTGTCTGTCTGTCTGCCCACAGCTCTTCCCCTCCTCCTCGAGGCGCGGCCCGGGAGGACGCAGCGGCCACACGAAGCGCTCTGGGCCTCTCTAGGTCCAGCCGCGGGGGCCGTGGGGCTGACCCCGGCCCAGGGGAGCGGGGGACACCCAAGGTCACTGGCAGGTGCGGGGTTTCCACTGTGTCTTAGAGACACTGTTGAGCTGGCAGATTTTGTGACAAAGTTGGAGAGGGGAGGGGAGGAGGGGGACGGGAGGAGGGGAGGGGGAGGAAGGAGGGATAGGGAGAAAGAGGAGGAAGACAGGACGGGTGGATGGGGCCGGGGAAGGGGTCGTGGGCAGAGGGGACGAGGGGGCACAGATCCCAGGGCCCAGCTTGGGAGCCGGCGGCGGCCCGGCTGTTGGATGGACTGGGCCTCAGGCGCCCCGAGTTCCCGGTTCCGGGGTCCCCCAGGCCTCCCCGGCAGCGGCCTCGGTGGGGGTGACCTTGGCGGGCGCCCCGTCGGGGGGAGGTCGGGTCCCCGCGCCCG